CAATGTGACTACATCTAAGGTCAACTAACAACCAGAAATAGAGGACAGACCTATGGGCCATTTCTGCTTCATTTGAAGTAGGTAGATCTATTTCTAGTGTAGATCTTTGAGGTAGGAATTCACACCTTTAATTCAGATCTTTAATTGAGATATAATCTGGACCATGCTTTCTGCTGAACACATCTGGAAGACCTGGAGAAAGGAAGCTTTTCCTCTTTCTCTGCTTCCTCTACCTTCTTAGCACATCCATTCCTTCACTCTCATTAGAGCATACATTTTGAGATTACAGCATACACTGCAGACAGCTGACACATCCAGACTTGTAGACTGAGCAACTACTGGTTTCTTGGACTTTCCATTCATAGACAGTCATTGTTGGATTAGCCCAGAGTACAGCTTGTAAATCATTATAACAAATCCCTTTTCAATATATAGAGAGATTCATTTTATAACTTCTGTTGTGCTACAGAGCCCTGACTAACACACCAGGCATGTAGAGAGGACATTCTCGAACAGTTTGTGTCTCATAAGAGTCTCAATTCACTTACAAATTCCCAATGGCCACCTTCCCTTAACCTTACCCTTCTCTAGGCACTTGTTTACTTCAGGAGACTCAACTCTCCTCCTCTACATAATCCTGACCAATTCTTGGCATGCTTTATTTCTCATATTATTGTGTATGGATATTAGAATGGTATTAGAGTCCATTTACAGGTTTCCTAGTGGCTTTACCCAGCCGGTTTGCTTAGAGAGGATGATTGGACCACTGGCCTGAGTTCAGGTGTCTGAGATGGTCTGCACTTGGCTGTGCTGGGGGAGGTCTTTTGCTCCACCCCTTGGCATTCCTTTAAATACACTAGGGCAGAGACAGCCAGGCCCCTGGAGGTTATCCTGTATTTACTTTCTGTTTCTTCGATGTCTATACTTCTAAGTAATATTTGCTATTGCTCCTACTCAAGAGTATTCTGGGGAAATGCGGGGATAATGAGTAGCCTCCCCATAGGATGAGAAGAGCCAACTATTGTCAGTATTTATAAATGAGCTTTCAACTCCTCATGGGTGAAGTAGTGAAAAGATTCTAATGAAGCAAAGAGAAATCTCTAGCTTTGGATGGAGGAGGAGCTTCCCTCCCTTCTTCCCTTCCCTTCCCTTCTTTCACTTCCCACCTTTCCTTTCTTCCCTCCTTTCTCTTCCTCCCCCCTTTCCCTTCCTCCCACTTCCCCTTCCTCCCATCTTCCCCTTCCCCATCTCCTCTTCCCCTTCATTCCCTTCTTCCCTTCCTCCCTTCCCTTCGCTTCAGTTCCCTTTCCCTTCCCCCTTCCCTTCCCTTCCCTTCTTCCCCCTTCCCTTCTTCTTCCCCCTTCCCTTCTTGTTCCCCCTTCCCTTCTTGTTCCCCCTTCTTCCCTTCTTCTTCCCCCTTCTTCCCTTCTTCCCCTTCTTCCCTTCTTCCCTTCTCTTCACTTCCCTTCCCTTTCCCCTTACTCTTCCCCTTCCCCTTCTTCCCCTTCCCCTTCCCCTTTCCCTTCCTTCCCTTTTCCCTGTGTCACAGCAGAGACTCCTGGAAAGAAACATCAGCTTCTGGTCAATTCAGGAAGAATTAGCAAGGAAGCAAAGGCTGTGCCCCATGACATCAGCAGTCTCTTCTCTGGAATTCTATTGTATCCTGGAGAGCTTTTGGAATCCCCTGTGATGTCAGTAGTGTTGTAGCAACACCACGTGAGCTTAGGACATTAGTTCAGTGCTGTAAGGTTCACCTACAGAGATGTGGTCAAGACTGAGGCGTCTAGTTGAGAGAGAGAATACACAGCATGGAGAGACCAGAGCAAGGAAGAAAGAAGCAGGCCCTAGGTCTAAATGGAAAACTTGGAGAAATCTCTGGTGCTGGGGAAGACACAGTGAGTCCAGTAGGGCTGGCCAGCTTTCTGGATGTGATGGTCTTGAGCTTTCCAGAGCTAGGGCTCAAGATCTGGGAACTTGTGGGAAGGAATAGGCCTATCCTGCTCTGGGTTCCTAAAGAGCAGACCCACATCAAGGATCCATGATGGTTAGTTTGGCAGAATCAGGAATTGACAAGGCTTTAGCTGCTTTGCTGGGTACCATCTGCTTTCACTCTGAGTGGGGAAGGAGGCACAGAGGAGTTAATGAGATATCTGTACCATAACTGTGTTCCCTCCTCCACACACTGGAGTTCTTTACTTGTGTGCCAATAATAATAGGGAAAGGAGAGTGCCCTGGCAAGCCTGAGGTTCTCGTACTTGACATCACAGCCACTATCAGGGCAGGGTCCACCAAGTACTGCTGTCTTCAAATGACCCCTGTGGTTTCTGGGTACCAACTGTTGATGGCACACAGGTCTGCAGTTCAGCCTGAGAGCTGTTAGATTCAGTGGACCTGGACGGATACTGTCCCCATCCTGCCAGCTCTGGGTGTCTTGGATTGTCAGTGAGGATGGCTGTGAATCTGGTGACCATGTTCTGCCCCTGCATGGCTTCCCCCATTAACATGAGAGTATGAAGCGTAGATTAAGTGAGGCAGGCATCCATAGACTACCTGAGTGTGACAGTAGCAATTTTCTCCTGGTTTTTCAAAGCACTTGGCTGAGGGCTCTGAAGCTATAGTGTATTCTCTATAGCCGTGAATAAGCCTTAGGAGGATGCACCCTGGGTCACATTGTCTAGGGAGACAGAGGAAACCTGCTGACTTCTGAGATTTCCACCTTGCTATTGACAGATGGGAGAACTGACATCCACAGAGGAAGAGACTCAAGTCTTGTCTTTGAGAAGCTTCTAGAGCAAAGTCTCATGTTCCAGTTACTTCCTGAGCATCCTTCAGTGTGTCAGGTTTGACTGAGATGAGGTGGTGCATAGGGCAGGTACTGTGCTTTGACTTCTAGAATAGGGAATTACTGAGATACTTCACTTTGTCTAAATTGGTTGTCAGTGTGATATAACATCTGAATGGAAAGGGTTTACCCCACATCAATCATTTGTTCTTTGTACCACCAAGTACACTTCTGAATCCACACTCCAAACTTCTGAAGAATTTGCAATCCAGGCTAAACATGGTGCTAGCTCCTCATTTCAGGACTGCCAGGAAATTCACAAGTGTGAACTGCGGCTCTGGGAATGGTCCAGGGCAAAGGACCCCCTAATAATGTCTCCTGTGTCCTTTGCCTGCCCTTCACATGCTCCAATGAGTATTCTTTAACCTGGCTGTGCCCATTTCCTTCCTAAGGGCATGTGCTTTGTCACAGGTGGCTCCAGATCAAGAAATTAGTCTTTGTGTAGCTCTAGGTGAAGCAACATAGCAGTGTCACACTACAGTCTCTCCCATGACTGTGACACATTTGCCCTTACATATCTGTGTATGGCATCCCCCTAGCCATTCATCTTTCCTCAATCTTGAGTGCAGGAATGGACAATTAATGGGAGTGTTTGCTCTTTTTGTCTCAGGGCTCACCTGGAGAACCCCAGTTCTTAGCATCTCCAGCCTGACATGTCACTAGTTGATCACACATTGGCTAATATTGTGTTGGCTGGAATTTATTGTACTGATGATTCAGGGAAATTTTTCTCACTAACTAAGGGACATTTCTTTGTTCTGACAGGACACCCATAAGCTCCACCACACCCACATACAGTAACAGCCTTGTGGATCCTCCACAATGTGCTTGTTGACATCAGGGGACTGATCTTTCCTCTCCTCTGTCCTGACCTTTATTTCTCATGTTATTTAGCAAACTTTATTTCTCATGTTATTGTTTGGGGATCTCAACAAGGGGCCAGTCATTTCCTGGGATGTGTTTTGAAGTGAGTGTTCATCTTCCCATACATGAAGTAGTGATTATACTCTAATGAAACAGAAAGAGATCTCTGGCTTTGTAAGGAGGAGGTGTTGAAGGTCTTCCCTTGTGTTTCTGGGAAGGCTCCTGGGAATGGCAACATGGTTCTGGTGAAGTGGAGAAGAGCTAGTTAGTTGATAGTTGAGGTCTGCTGGAGGTGACCCTAATCATCCCTTCTATGGTGATTCTATTGTCTCCTGGAGAGTCCTTGGTAATCTCTATGATGTCACCTGTGTTGTGGTAACACCAATGCCAGTGGGTTATTCATTCAGTTCTCATAGACTCAGTTGGCAAGACTGAGCAGGCTGCTTGGGAGAGAGAATGGGGAACATGGAGAGACCAAAGAGAGGAAGAAGGAAGCTGGCCTCAGTGTCAAACCTGGAGAAATAGATGGATCTGTCTAAGGCACAGTGACTACTGAGCAGAGTAAGAGAAGTGTGCTTGAGGAAGTGAACTTGAACTGAGATTTCTGGTAGTAGAGCTCAGCAGCAGGGAGTTTCTGAGTAACAATGGGCCAATCCAGCTTCTCTGGCTTTCTAAAGAGCAGAGCCAGAGTCAAGAGTTTCTGATGGTTAGTTTCTGGAGAGCTATGAATTGTCCAGGCTGCAGCTGGGAATTCTTTCATTTCATTCTTAGAGGCAAAGAAGGGCAGGAGGAACAGACTGACTGCTGAGATGACTCTCACTGGGTAGGGTGTTGCTGCACTTCATCCCAGTGGATTTCTTCAGTTTCCATGGGAATATGATTCCAATAGGAAGTGGAGAAACTCCCCTGGACACACAGCAGATATACAGAAGCTTTGGTCCTGGACACATGTTATCAGGACTTGGTTCTGCAAACTACTAGGGACAGCAGGACTTACTTGCATCACATCAGATATGACCTACACTGTCCTCCAATTCTCCTTGGCTGGGCTTGCTTAGGCCTTCCAGGACCCGGGGACTACATTAGGGAGGGAGGCACAAGATTATCCACAGTGCTTGAGGACAGAGACAGAGCTCAGGGGCCCCAGTGTGAGGATAGCTGACCTGCTGTTTGGAAGCTTCACTGGGCTCCTAGCATTTTCTCTTCCTTAGGCTTCGTCTTGGGACTCAGCATGGACTCTCCTGGCCCTATGCCATTCTAGAATACAAGTTCATTTGTCTTTGTCTACCTGCAGGGACTACTCGGGTGGCACCATCCCAGTGCTCCACCTTCACTGAGCAGGAGCAGGAGCAGGAAATGAAAAAACTAGAGAAACTCACCATTCGTCTACATGATATGGAATGTGAGAGAAATGAGCTGCGTGGAATCCTGGCCAATTACACAAACAAGGATTTGAACAACAGGTAGTTTATTCCCAGTTCTCTGCTGGCCATCATGACCCCACAGTATCAAGCCCAGAATTCCTGAGGAATCAGAGGGTGAAACTCCATGGTGTCCTGCTGCCTAAACTAATTTTCATGAGTTTTTTTAAGATGCAGAACTTGGAGCCTGGTTAGGAGTGAGATGGGGTTGCAGGCTTGTCTGCTTCCTCCAAATGAAAAGCAGAGCCTATGGCTTGAATCACAGTCTGAGGATAGGGACAGTAGTGTGTGAGCTCTCATCATGCATTTCAAGAGGTCTTGACAGGTGTGGCTTGTGGGTGATGCTAGGTGTTGTGAGTTTGTGTTGAGTCTTTGTACTTGACCAGCAGATTACCGTGTGCTGAAAGCTCCTAGCAGCAGCTGGAGGGGCCTGGTCCATTCATCCATCTCAGGGTGTGGCTGGAAGGCCTGGAGCTCATCACAGCTCCCCTCTGGTCTTCTTATACTTTGCGACAATGCCACATACCAATATTTCTTGGGCATCCTGATTTCATGTGGGTTGGGGTGTGTGTGTGTGTGTGTGTGTGTGTGTGTGTGTGTGTGTGTGTGTGTGTTCCTGAGAGCCTGAGGGCATGGTCTGAGGATTTAACATAGCTTCCAGATGATGGCACTGCTGACGCCAGGGAACCCCACATTGAGCTCCGTGCTCAACTTGGTAGAACATTCAAATCACTAGTGAAGTTTACAAAACCATCCTGAAGTTGGGGCTCCCTCCTGGAAGTACTGATTTTGTGCTCTGGTCCTTTGTGTAGCAATAGACACCCAGGAATGAGAATCCCTGTTCTGAAGACAGGAGAATGTCCCCATAGGTTTCTGGTGAGTCCACATATGTGACACAGACTCCTGAGAACTTCTTAGAGTGCTTATCTATAGCTCCAAGCCCACTGTGGGTGCTCATGCATCATTGGATTCCTCCCCTTAGACCTCTTGGTTGTTCTGTCCTGGGGACAGGATAGGATGTTTAATAAGCACCAGGAGGTCCCACTGTTTAAGTGCCAAGATTTGTCATCCACTGGCCTGGGGTAGTCCATGGCACAGCTTCTTTCATGTGTTCTTTTTGGCCTGTGTTCATGGGTTTTTTTCCCTCCTGGGTCCATGCCCTACCACAGGCTAAATTTTGAACTCGAGATGCTTGAAATGGAACACAAGCAGGTGATGTCAGCTCTCCAGAAATTGCCCATGGAGATTAGTGATGCCTTGAACAAGTGCAAGGGACTGATTGAGGAGACGGAATACTTTAGGTAAGTGCCTACTGGCTTGGGAGGGACTGTTTCTGCCTTTCTTTGTCCTTGACTCAAAGTGAAGGCTCTGGTTCTAGCCTGTGTGCCTCTTAGCCAGCATCCTCCTTTGTGACCCTTGGATTTGTGCCTCTTGGACTCAGTTTTGTTAAGTGTGGAAAAACACTGAGGCCCTCCCATCATTGTCCAGCTGTGGGAGCCCTTAGATAGGAATATCCTTTGTATCATGAAGGGGATGTCCTGAAGCCCAGGGCCACCAGAGCTCTGGTTAGAGCATCACAGATCTGGTTTGCCTGGGATCTGTAGAGAGAATTTATTCTGGTTGGGACTTCTGCCCTCCTTCAGAGAGTGTTTGCCCTCTACCTGCTGATGCTTTCCAAGACCATGAAGAGTTAAGCACAGGTGTGGGCTGCCCCCTGTTCTTTGAGGCACATGATCCCTTTTGGTACCAGGATTTTCAGAAGTAAGTTGAATCTATCAGGAATTTGTTTATTCTCTGGATTTGGCCTGCATTTGAGTGATGCTGCCTTGGATACTGAGAGCTCCATTCTTGTGCTGTCTGGGGGCCTCCGACTTTTCAGGGTTAGTAGCATTTAGAAGTAGAGATGGCAAATGCAGCCTCTCTGGGGCTCACCATTTCTTTTTTTGGTGGTTCAGTTACCTCCATGGCCGGTTCCTACAAGAGTGTAATCACCTAAAGAGGAATGTACGTGTGTTGACGATCCAGAACACACAGCTGTGGAAGGAGCAGATTGAACTGCAAAAGACCTGTGAGGAGGTGAAGAAGCTCTTGAAGGAGGCCCATGAGAAGATCTGTGACCCCTGTGCTGAGCAGCAGCAGGTAGGCTGAGGCACTAGGGGCAGGCTGCCCACCTGTCCAACCATAGACATAGAGACACCCATGTAACCATCCACCATCCATGCAGACTCCCACTTACATACCATCCAATTGTTCATTTCTGTGATCATTCACAAGTCTCTCTGTAGAGTTAGCCTCTTTCAAGATACTGGATGACTGGCAAACAAACCCTCCTGCTCTGCTAGAAGCTGCAGTACATTCAGAGAGATGGGTCAGTCAGCTATAACACACCTACATGTTATTATGTTACCAGTCTGCTATGTAGAGAGCTACTTGGAGAATATCACAGAGCTCTCATTGATTAGGTCAGTGGCCTGTGGCTCATTTGCTTTGCAGATGTCATGTGAGATCTCAGGTAGGAAACAGCTTGTAAGAATTAGAGCCCAGGGCCAGTGCAAAGTGAGTAGTTCTCATTTTGGGGTCAATTTTGGGGTGGCATGTGGTCTTCTCCTTTCTTCCTACATCCCAGTGTGCTCTCTTTCCTTAGCTTAACTCTTGGTCCATACTGTCAGAGGCCTGTGTATCAGCTTGTCAGCCTGTTTTCTATGGGTGGTGCTGGACAGTTCTCCCATCCTGGAGTTTCCAGTCTGGAGCTGACTGAATGACCGTAGATGTGGTAGGACTTTGACAGCCTGAGGGTTGGAGTGACTGATTTGAGGCTTCAAGAGAACATTTTCTCCAATCACTTCAACATAGTTTGACTAGGCTGTGTGCTCTCCTCTAGGCATTTTTAGTTCCCAAGTGACAGATAGCTGTGTTGTAAGTCTCTGCTGAAACATGTGATGTGCATAGTCTAAATTCAATTGTTCACTCAATATGATGTACCCTTCCTTGTTTTCTGCTCACTTTTGATTTCTGTGGTCGGTGTGTGATCTCTGCAGGCATGTGTAAATGTGTGCATATGTGTGTGTTCAGAGGCTACATAATGAAATCCTATGTTGTCATCTGTTGTTCCACCCTTGTTCACTTGAGCCCAAGTCATTCACTGAACCTAAAAATTTCTGTTTGGGCCATTCTCTCTGGCCAGCACTCTGTCTCCCCTCTTCCCCAGGGGTCCTTTTGTCTTGTCTCATGTAATTGTAGTAAGTTTAAATTGCTTTCTGTTGTGTTTATACACTTTTATTGCTTTGGTATACATGTGTTTTTTTTAATAAATAACAAAAATCAAATAATACAGGTATTTTAAAAATAAAATTAGACTTCTTCCTTTTCACTACTCAAAGCTAACACAACAGGAAGTGTCTGGTTTGTCTCATTGGCTTCACAACATGGAATCCCACAGTGCATCTCTTTGTTGACATTGTGTTTCTGACTATATCATGTACATGGCTGTGTCTTAGAACAGATTCCCTCTCATAGCTGTGTGGTGTGCTGTGTTCCTGAAAAGCACTGCAGGTGATGTCACTGGCCTCCTTCTGACTGACCTTGGGGTGAATTCATATCATATGCACTTTAATCTGTTGACAACCTCCTGGGTGTTGACCATGGGTCACTCTCTTTCACTTGAGCTATCCAGGTCTTCTTGGAGGAGCTAGGATAAGTTTAGTGAAGAGATTATGATGGATTACCTTGCAAACTGTGGGATCAATGAGTCTTGGGATGTATAAAGTTCATGGAAGGAAAAGAGTGCAGGCCAGGGTAGCAGAGGCTGGCTGAATCTAAGAGCCTTGTACAAAGCAGGGAGGACCCATGACCTCCCCCAGAGCAGAAAAGCTGCTACAAGGCAGCAGTCCTCTCTTGGCCATCTGTTCAGGAAGTGAGTGTGTGTGTGTATGTGTGTGTGTGTGTGTGTGTGTGTGTGTGTGTGTGTGTGTGTGTATCCTTGTTTGCATTTCTTTCCAACTGTGAGGGTGAACCTCTTTGTGTGTGTGAATTCTGGCTGTTCTTTCTACAGTAGTGTTCCTTTATGTTTGTGTTTATGACCTTGTGTAGGTTAATGGGTGTTTCTGTGCCCATGTTTCCCGTATGTATAGGGGTAAGTGCTTGTGTGTGTTGGGAGTATGAGTACTTATGAGTGCAAGTATGTGCTTCTGTGTGTGAATGTGTAAACTTGTGTGTGTGTGTGTGTGTGTGTGTGTGTGTGTGTGTGTGTGTGTGTATTTCTCCAAACTTATTCATGAAACATCTTTAATGATGATGGAGACCCAACATAATTGAGAATGTACTGTGCCCACACACTTGGCATCTATCAAATTCTGTATTCTTTTGCCCATCTTTCTACATGTCCACCTAACTCTCTAGAATGAAAGGATAGAAAAACTGCTGTAATTCAGTGGTTTTTAGTATTTGTAGAGTCAAAAACATTTATCTGCAAGGAAATCCTTGGAGCAAACCAAAGGAACTTGGTACAGGAAATTGAGGCCATTGTGTCTTTGAGGCAGGATTGGCTGGCTGAGAGTTTGTGTCCCTTCTATGCCCTAGGTCAATGGTGACTGCATACTCAATGGTCTGTGGCTTACTCTGTGCCCTGTCTTGTCCTCATCCACATTGCCTGCTACCACTTTCTTTCCACTTTTGCCTAACCTTGGCTCAGTTTACCTTGGCTGTGGCGCTTGGACTGGATGTTATTTGTTGAGAGAGTCTGACTTGCAGTGTGCAGAAGTCCCCTAGCCATGCTGAGGTGTGAGAAGGGGGATGTCTCAGCACACCCAACTTAGGCTCATGATGGTCTAAAGCACTCACCATGTGCTGTGCCTGCAGCACTCAGTAACTGCTTTTCTTCAGAGTTCTTCATTCTGAGTTAAAATCCACCTCATGAGGGCTGGGAGAAATGAGAACCCTCAGACATTGCTGGTCATATAAAATGTTATAGTGCAGTGAGAAGCCACACACACTTATTCAGGAGGTTGAACTGCAATCCCCAGGTGACACAGTGATCCAGAACATGAAATAGATGTCCCTAGAGAAGCTAGAGGGCAGCAGAGTTTTAGCAGTGTTCCTCAGAGTAGCCTCTAGTAGAAACTATCTAGATGTCCATTATTGGAAGAGTGTAGTACAGTGTGGTTGAGCCCTTCCATGGAATATCATTTGACTCTGATGTAGTCAGCCTTTTGTTACTCATACAAACTTCTGAAATGATCACCTTACAGGGAGGAACTGTTCCTTTTGGATCCTGGTTGTGGAGATTTTCTAGTTTCTTGAGCTCATTGCTTTGGGTCTGAAGTGAGGCAGCCTGTGGTAAAGGGAGCTTCTCTTGGAGGAATTTGCTCACTTTGAGGGCCACTGGGAAGCCCTGAACAAGATCAGTAGTCTGGTCCACCACCATGCAGTGGTCCTGTGCTGGGGTTAATTCCTATACTGCACAGCTTGGGGAACTTCCTAAGCAGGGTTTGCTAATGGGCCAGGACCCCAGAGGTCTACCTGCCTGTGCATTAGGTTACAGGACAGGCAATTCAGGGTCTGAACTCCCTATCTCTCATGCTTACTGTGTTCATTTCTCATCCAAGAAAATTAATCTTCTTCTCAATAGTATTTCTGGTGATTGCTCTTTATATTAACATTAGCTGGGAAACTAAACATGTTAGTGCATTACAGTGTGCTTGTGTGTGTGCATACATGTACTTGTGTGCTTTCCTGACTTTATGTGTGTCCATGTGAGTGAGCAAAAGTCCACTGAGAACACAATCTTCTAATGAGCAGGAGCAAGAAAACCTGGAGGAAAGACCGAAGGACCTGCTGAAGCAGAAGGAGCTGGTCACCCAGCAAAGGGACTTGGCAGAAAAGCTGCAACATCACTTCAATGTCTCTGAGATGAGGTAGGAGCCCAAGCTGGGAGGAGTGGTTAGAACAGGTAGGTCACCTGTATCTGGATCTCTGTCCTTTTTGGGATTCTCCCCATCTGGATGGCTCTCAGCCACAGCCAAGGAAAGTCCACCTCAGGGTATTGTGCTGGCCCAGTTAACAAGAACTTCTCCAGGAAACACTATGTTTGATCTTTAATGTTTCTGGGGAATGTGTACCCCTTATTCCCTTCTGAGCTCTCTGGTATCTTCTCAGTGTCCCCTGTGTCTCCCCATAAATCTCACTATGGTAGTCCTCAATCTAGCAGGAGGAGGGTTAGTTGTGGAGGTCCGGGTTTGTTCCTGTCACTTTATTTTCCATTTAGAACATCACCTTTACAGAAAAAGTCCTACTTGGGCAGATCTGCATGCAGCACACTCTTGCTGATTAAAGGCTCTCTGCACTGTATATCTGTCTCCTGTGAAAAGACTTTTCTGGACATAAGATTATTTAGGAGTTGAGGTGTTGAACTCAGGCAGGTTCCTGTGCTGTAGGAATAATCAGAACCTTCACTGCTTTTATTTTGTAGACTCACTAGAGGGTCTACATTCAGTTTCCCAGGTTGCTCATTCACCTGGTATCTAATCAGGGCCATCTATATCTTCCCTTAACTGTTTATCAGACACTGTTATTTTTTCTCACAACAATGTATCTAGAAAACTGGAAAAACATGCTGAATATCTTGCCCAGCACAGTGTAGTTCTAAGTTCATTTTCTAGTAGATTTTAAAAGCTGAGAATAAAACCCAGACCCAGGTATAAGCTGACATTTCTCTGCTAGGAAATGCAGGGATTGACCTGAGCTGAAAGATCACCCTGGAAGGTCCAGCTGACTAGAGCTGGTTCAGGCTCAACAGCTGATATAGCAGGTCCCCACCAGGCCTGTTCCCTAACTGCCTTCCTCCTCTAGGTCAGAAAATCTGCACCACAAGCTGGAACATGTCACAGCCCAGGATGAGAGCCTCCTGCAGAAAGAACTGCTGGAGCAGGAGCAGGAAGTATCACAGGCAAGTGAGCCACCACTGCATTCCAACCCCTGCAGCCATGGCATTCATGGGGACTGGGGACTCTTGACATTGGCTTCCGATGTGAATAGACCTAATTCTGTCTAGCCTGTGGTCCAGCCAGGCTGCTTCTGGGACTGATTGCCTTTCCTTCTCTCACAGCAACTATAGGAGAACTGAGGAGGCCAAAGATGCCACAGACAACTTGAACCCATGGTGTTCTCCACCCTAGGATCGAAGCCTCCTCAGAAGAAGACATCCTATGAGATTCCAAGGAAGCATGGCTATACTTTTTGAAAATGCTTTTTACAATTTCGACTGCCTTTCTACCATGTTTCCAAGGCCAGCCACAGGATGTTGGTCTGTGCTTCAAAGTCTGTTGCATGATTATCCTAATCTTATTATTTTAATTAAGCAAGCTGCGTAGCTTAATTTTTTTTTTGATTGTTTTGTTGGGTTTTGTTTGGTTTGGGTTTTTTGGTTTTCTTTGTTATGGTTTGAGGTTTTGAATTCATTTGTTCTTTCTTTTGTTCTTGTTGTTTGGTATTTTGATAAGGCTGTTTACTGTTTATATTGTGCTTGTTTTAAGGCACTATTGAGTAAAATGACTCTTTTTTTTGTAAATAAAAATTTGATTTCCCATTCTGAGCTCTTAAGACTGATTTCTCTGGTCAGTATTGCCCTGGGCTCAAAGTTTATCTAGCTGTGTCCCAGTCAAACAGCTTTAGGTATGATAGCCTTTCCTTCACTGACAGCAGCTCTTGAGGGACAACTGAGGAAGCCATAGAAGCCACAGTCAGCTTGATCGTGCAACATTCTCCACCCTAGGGTCAAGGCCCCCTCAGAGGAAGACACCCCTTTCAGCTGTGATCTCACCAGTGAGACAGACACCAGCTGACCTCCAGGTGGTTCAGCCCCATCAGATCCATGGTCTATTGACTCACTACTCCTGAACAAAAGAAAGCATCACTAACGAACTTGAGACACAGAAAATCTGAGAGAAGTGTTACTGAGAACCATGACAGTCAACAGAATGTATTCCTTGTGAAGGATACAACAATGTGAAGGGTAGAGATGTTGATAAGCAAGACTTTTTCTGTCAGTTTAATGTCCATGACTTTTGCAAGCTCACTGAGTCCTTAGCCCTCCCCATGTGGTTGGAAACCCATCACGGAAGATGATCTTGATGTCAAGTTGTTCTAAACAGACAGTTTCCAACTCTTCACACTTAATATCAGTTTCTAGGTCATGTGTGATGTTTCACTCCTATAGCTACAGAACCACCTGTAACTCCAGAACTCTAGTGTGCCCAGCTTGGCTTACATAGTGAGTTCCCAGCCAAGCCAGGGATACACAGGGCTTTGGATGTGGATGCTGTTTCCAACTCTGTATGCCTATTTCCTGATAGAAAATGTATCCATACTGTTCTTAGCTATCCCTAAACTATAGTATTCTGTATACACATTTTATGAAATGATCATGTGAATCATATTAATGAAACAGAACAGTACTGCTTTAATGCCTCTCAGGAAATCCAAATATTTACTAAGGGAGTATGCAAAAACTCCAAGACCTGCTTGCCATCTGGGCCTTGGTGATGTCCCTGTCTGGGCATCCAAGGACCATACCTTGTCCATGGCCCTGTCACAGATGTTGGCATCTGTGTTGATATCTGTGACTCCTGTTACCACTGAGGGCTTTGCAGCCACCTTCAGTCTGGGAACCACCTGTGACTATGGTACTTCAAGGATATGATCCCACAGGGGCAGTGTGTGTGTTTTAGAGGACTATGCTGCCACCGAGGTCCATAGTGAAATATGTGCCAGGAAGCTTGCCAAAGGCCACATCTGGGTCCATATCTCTGCTGAAACCAGGGTCTGCATTGATGTCCCAGGCTCCTAATGCCATCAAAGACATTGCAAATTCCTGGAATCTTGGCAGCCACATGGACATATCTGGGGCCTGCTGCTCAGTCCATGTCAATCTGAGTGACCTGCATTGCCAAACAGGGCCATGGAGACATGCAGACTCAGGATGCAACCTAGGATCATGTCTAGGTCCATGTTGCAAATGCAACCTGGTTCTATGTTCATGTCCATTGCCTGTGTTGTCAACCAAGAGATACACAGAAATAGTTAGTGTGTGAGTAGCCACTTAAGATCATGTTAATATTTTAGGGCTGTACTTCTTCCAGGGTAATATACCTCTCAGTGGCCTATGCTGCCACAGGGGCCATGGTGGCCTCCTGGTCTAGGCTGTTGCTAAGGGCCATGTCTGGAACCTGTACCCTGCCACAGCTTCAGTTTATGTTGGTGTCAGTGGATCCTGTTACCATGAAGACAGGATAGGGATTCAAAGAGTTAACCATGCCCCTCACAGGCTGCAGCACTAGGGAGAACTGGATCTGCCCCTCACCAACTGCAGCACTTGGAGAGTGGATCCTGCACCTGGACTGAGCAGCGTGTAGAGCTGACCCTGTTAGTGGTGGTGCAGGCGAGCTGGCCCTGAGCGTATGAGAGCAGAAGAGCTGACTCTGCTCCCCTTCTTCTGACCTGTGTTGGCAAGGGTGAGGGAAAGATGCCTGCCCCACCTGAACATATGCTATCTGAAGCTGGTGGGAAAGTTGGCCTCTGGGGCTTGAGAACAGTAGAGCTGGGTCTGCCCCTGACCAACTACAACAATTGGGAGAGTGGGCCCAGCTACTTGCCTGTCCAAACAGCAGAGCTGGTTCTTGTGGTCTGAGTGTGGATGACCCAAATGTGAGGGCATGAAAGGAGGAGAATTGGGCTCTGTTTCTTCTGCCTGCTGCATTTGTTGATTTAGCTGGGGCAGAGTTGGAGAGCTTGCTCAGGTGTGAAGATGAGGGACAGCTGGTGGGCTCACTAACCCAGCTACCACCCAGGTTCAGAACCAGGGCTATAAGTTATCCCATCCTAACACCCTCTTCATCTATGAACTGCAGGAGCATGAGAATGCCAAGATCTGCAGATCAGAGCTACAGGATCTCCATGGCACAGACATCAATTCTATATCCAAGAGGAGCCCCAGTGAGGGTGGATTATTGACAGTGTAGGAGAAGTCAGAGGTCAGGAATACTTGCAAGAACAGATATATAGAGGAAAGGGTGTACTGTATGACTCACTGGACCACAATACAGATTCCTCAGCAAGATTTGTGTTTGTTTTCTTTTCATTTTGGATTTTGCATTTTTCTTTATATTGTTTTATTTTAGATGGGAAATCTCAAGGGCAGAGCACAGATGCAAGGGAATAGGCATTTGGAAGAGTGGAATATGGATGCGGGATATGAAACCAAAGGAGAATCAATAAAATATTAAATAAAAACAAATTAAAAAACCGGAGCTATCTGCCTCTGATTTCTTTGAAATATAGCTCCTGTGATAACCAAATAACAGACAGATTGAATTCAAAGATAAGTTTTCACATTATTTTTTTGCTGCTGTAGGCCTTAATGATGCATTAGTGCAATATTTTTTTCTTATTCTTTTTCTTTTTTTTTTTTAAGATTTCTTTATTTATATGTATGGATGTTTTTCCTGCCGAAGGGCTGTAAACTACATGCATGCAATTACACCAGAGGCCAGAAGAGGGCATCAAATTCCACCGAAACTGGAGTTAAGGATGCTTTTTAGCTGCTCTGTTTTTTCTTTGGGAGAGAAACAATTACTCAAAGTAAAGGAGCCATCTCGTCAGCTCCTGCACTGGGCTGTTTTCTTTCTAGCCACCTGTGCTGTATTAGTTGGAATGAATCAGCCCTAAGCAAAAAGAGAAATTTCAGGAGTTCAATAGGGACAAATATATGATGTAGGCATGGTGGTAATTATCTTAGGATGCCATGCATCCATGCAAGGTGTTCATGGGTTCAGGATCCTGCTCCAGCATCACTTATTGTCAGGGTTGGAGAAGATCTCTCACATCTCACATTGGATGACAATAAAGATTAGGGCCATCTGATAAAATGCAGAAATGAGAAGATCTTCCTGGTGGTGGAGGTGTGGTTAGGAGTCCCTCTTGATGCTCCAGCTAAGTGTTGGGAGGAAGCTTCAGACTAGCCAGAGTGGATGAAGCCTGCAGCAAAAGCCATGTGCCTCTGATGGAGAGCACGCCTGTGCAAGGCTAGGAAGGGTGAGGGATGGTTGATGCTGCTCTTTGCCCACAGCAGATCTCACTGTATATTGAGGAAGGGTTCCTTCCAGATGAGTGCTGTATTCTTGTGAAGCTCCCCTGGACCAGATCTGATTTCTGAGACTGAATTAGAGAGTTAATGTGTGGAGGGATTAATCCTATGGGATCCCAAACTGGTGCAGTCAACCAAGGGTAGAAAAAATCTACTCTCTACGAATAAAGAACGTATATACACACAGATCATCAATATAGATACAAAACTCATTCAATTCCATGGATGATGTGATCACCTGGACAATGGGCTCAGTGGACAAAGGTACCTGCTGCCAGGCCTATAGGCCTCAGTTTCTTCCCTGGGACTCACATGATTGAAGGAGAAAACAAACCTCTGACAAATTGTCCTCTGATCTTCATGTGGGTAGGGGGTGCCTAGTCACGGCCCACAAAAGCTAAGACATGGGGATTTGTTTCTGTTCCTTACTTACCCTAGAATCTCTCCATCTGAGGCCCTAATTTAATTATATTCCTCTGCATTCCATTTGAGAGCATCACCTGAAGAAGGGTTGAGGGAAGGTGGCCACTGGGAATTGTGACATCGCTGAGACACAAACTGCTCTAGAATGTCCTCTCTACATGTTAGTCAGGGCTCTCTAGAGTAATAGAAGTTATAACCTGAAGCTCTCTATATCTAGAAAAGGGATTTGTTAGAATGACTTCCAGTCTGTGGTCCAGACTATACAAGGATGGCTATGATGGAAAGTCCAAGAATCCAGTAGTTGCTCAGGCCACAAGACTGGATGTCTTAGTTGTCTGTAGTCTATGCTGTAATCTTAAAGAAGTAGGTTCTAATTCCAGTGAAGGA